TAGTAGTAGTAGTAGTAGTAGTAGTAGTAGTAGTAGTAGTAGTAGTAGTAGTAATAGTAGTAGTAGTAGTTGTTGTTGTTGTAGTAGTAGTAGTTGTTGTTGTTGTTGTGGTAGTAGTTGTAGTTGTAGTAGTTGTTGTTGTTGTTGTAGTTGTAGTAGTTGTAGTAGTAGTAGTAGTGTTCGAAATTATCAGCAGATTTTATTTAAGAAATAGAGTCAAATTAGACTTCTTTAGATGATAGACGACGGGATAATAGAATTGACAACGGAAAAATGATTATAAGACTTCAGCATGTGACATTGCCGCACAAAAGTCTGTTGAACAGCGTGTAAGGGGCTGAAGCGATTCGGATGAGAGCCTCATGAGTGTGCTTGGAGTTGACAATTTTCTACCGAATGTCAATATCCCATTCTTGAAACCGTAAAGACCCACCTCGGTGAGGAAAATCTTTCGTGTAGGCTCCATACTGGTTGGAAAGACTGCCTCGACAGGAGAGCATGTCACTTTGTCTCTGCTGCTCAAAGTACGGCTACCCTCGACAGCAAAAGACCGATTGGTTTTTAGACGATCATTCGGCTCGACTGCCTTCCAGACGGTATCATCATGCTCGTCAGACCTGAGCCTATAAGTACCGGATAACCGACGTGGCATGGCATCTGCAAAAGAGCGATTTGCAGAACGTCTCTTCGAAGCCGAGTCGTCGACATCCTCCATCTCTGCTGGCAGGAAGACGCCAACAGCAAGCAGACGCTCCTCTATGGCCCTATCGATGGTCATCTGTTCGTCATTGCGATCGTACTCGATTGGCGGCAATGGCTTCAGGATTCTTGAGCTGGCGAGATGAGGCAACATGTGGAGAAATAAAGACAAGTGAATTGGTAATCATTAACTTTGTGGTAGAGGAATTTTTTTCCTTCTAAATCACTTTAACATGCGGCTTAGCGTTCTGCACAAGTGAACATAAACGTAACTGGATTTCGAGAAATCTATTGTTTCATAATTGTTGACCTTATTTCCATGTCGAGTAAAAGTGTGCGGTGAAGAGATTCGACGGCCGATCCCATCGGAAGACGGCGGCTGATTCCTCTTGACCAGCTGTCGATTGGTTTTACTGGAACATTCATGTTGACGCTGTTTCCGAGACAATCTCCTTCAATTCCGGTCACATGACGAACATCATCAGAGCAAGATATCATCTTCACAATTAAATTCAAGCTAACGAGTAGAGAAAACTTGGTTTCATTTGGCTGTGACGATGATACCTTGCTTTGATGATGTTCGTTGTATGACAGACTAAACTTTGCATCATTTCACCGGAAACCATGAATGCTCCAGTAAAGCCAATCGACAGCTGGTCAAAAGGAATCCGCCGTCGTCTTCTGGTGGAATCGAGCTCAGAATCTCTTTCACTCGAAATGGAAAATGCATGGAGAAGGGATTCGTAAGTTGATCTCATCAGAAAACGATGGATGAATCTCGTCGTATTAAATGCCACATCATCAGAGCTGGAACTCATGTTAAAATCGGTCAAAAAAACTATCCGGCTCTACCTAATTTCTTATATTTATCGTATTTATGTAGAGTTTCGAGATGTATTCACCCTATTTTATTTAAAGTGATGAAGGACTTGTAGTAGCATTTTCCCACAATCATATGACTAAAGCTGACGTTTTCATTCAATTTTACAAAGCCTTGCTTTGCCAAAGTTTTGTTCTCATCCAGGCAGAGGTGGAATGCAGTTTCGACCTCGCATCGGTCTTATCAACACCCCCAGCGGGAGTCGAACCGTGACAGTACAGCATGTCATCTTGACA